TGGAGACTTCAGAAAGGTATTCCTCCTGTGGCGATTTGGAGCTCAGGTGGCCTAGTGGTAAGGAGTTAAACTGCCAACCCCAAGGCAGGTGGGTTGAATCTATCAACTGCTCAACAGGAGAAATATGGGCAATCTCATCTTGTGAGATTTACAACCTCTATGAACCTACTGCAGGGCCAACTATGTATTGGTTTCTAACTTAATTTGGCATCGCAGAATAAAGGTGGAGATATAAATGAATGACAGTTGATTACAACCAAATTGGCTTGAGCAATTATAAGCCATTTTGTCTTTATTATGTTCACAGGTTTTTTATTTTTGGGTTTTGCTTTTTTTAAGGGTTAGATATTGTTGATTCCTACTTGATGACACACAACAACAGCCTATATTCAGGTGCAATAAGCAGTAGAAGAATATAGTATTAGAACTGGAGCTCAGTTTTTAAATACAGACCAATCTCTTTTGCAGGGATATACTTTTTCAATGTCATTGAAAGGTGGTCAGCTTCCTTTCAGCACTTACTGAGGAGCTCAGAATCAGTAACCCTCCTTGTTCTGATCAGCTACCTTGACTCTATTACCATTTATAAAAGTAGGCATAAATCAGTGAATTCTGGTTTTTAAGTGTTATATAACATGGTTTAGGAAGTCCTTTAACAAAGTTCTATTTTGAACCAGGGTAAAAACTTACCTAAAGAAGTTAATTTCCTCCAGTAATTTACCTTTGAAAATTGTTTTCTGATTGATTTTAATAGACATAGAGCTATATACCCAGTATATTTCCTGTGCAGAGTTAAAGAGTCCCAATAAACAAATATTATGTGAAAGTCGAGGATGTTAGTTTGAGTTTCCAGTTGAGGACAAGAGGGAACTTTATGTGTCAGGAGGAAAAGAGGGGACAGTAGGTGTTACCACAATGTTAGAAGTAGAAACAGAATTTTCAATTCCTTTGTGTGTCTAATTAGTTTTGAAATGTATCCATAAGACTTCCAACTTTACTTTCTTGGTTTCTTTTAAATCTCCAAGATAACAATTTAAATAAGTATTTCCTTGGATATGTTTAACTCTGGATTCTTTCTGTTCAAATTTGCTGCAAAGAAGTTTGATTTGGACAGATCAAAAGACTTCCAAAAGTTTCATAAACTGTTACAAACTTTTGTTTTACTGTGTCTTGGGTGAAAAAAAGAGCAAGGAGCAAAGCTATAATGCTTCTTCATAAATTGTGAAGGCGTTCTCAAAGGGTAATCTTCATATTTTATTTGCTACTATACTCTGATAAACTAAATATGCGTGTGCAACAAATAAATATTAGCACTACCCTTTATTGCTCTGGACCATGATTCTGTTATTATAAAAGCCTCAAATTTTATGTTGAACTTGCAAGTGGAAACTTTTAATCAGAACTCATAAGCAGAAAACCTTAAGGTTTTCTTTAATATTGGTCCAGTAGAATGAGATTGAGTCATAAAGGCCTAAATGGAATATTACCTGAAAAGTCAAGAGGTAGAATTACATCTAATAGAATTTCAAAGACAAAGTTAACCAACTTAATTAAGAATGAAAGTAAATTAAAATGATACAAACTGTTGTTTTTGGGTGCCATCAAGTATGTTGACTCATAGCAACCCTCTGAAAAACAGATCTGAATCCTTCTCTATCTTGTGCCATCCTCACCGTCTTTGATACACTTGATCCCATTGGTGTGTTCACCATGTCAGTCTATCTCATTGGTGGTCTTTCACTGACCTTCCATCTTTCCAAGGATGATAATCCCTTTCCAAGGAATAACCTTTTCTAGTAAATGTCCAAAGAATAAGAAATGAATCATTTCCATCCTTGCCTCTAAGGAGCATTCTGGCTGCACCTTTTCTAAGACATACCTGTTTGGGTTCTTTGGCTGTCCTTGGGATATCCAGTACTCTTCTCCAACACCACAGCTCAAAGGCAGTTCTTTTGTCATCCTTATTCATTGTCCATCTCTCAGATGCACAGCAAGTTATTGAAAAGATCATGGCCTGTGTCAGGTGAACCTTAGTCTTCGTATTTACATTATTGCTCTTCAGTATTTTGGAGAGGTCCCTGACAGTGGACTTGCTCAAAGCAATACATCTCCTTATCTGCTGATGCCTGATACCAAGGGTGTTGACTGTTGGCCCAAGCTAGATGAAATCATTGACAGTTTCAATCCTTTCTCCGTCTATCATGATGTTGCCTATTGACCCAGTTTGTTTTCTTGATATTGAGATATAATCCATATTAAAGTTTTTGATCTTCTGTAGAAGTGCTTCAGGTCCTTCTCACTTTCCTCAAGCAAGGTTGTGTCATCTGCCTAACATAGCTTGTTGATGGAACTTCCTCTGATCCTGCTATTACATTCTTCTTCATAGAGTCTGAATTCACATGTTATTTTCTCAGCATACAGTTTGAATAAGCATGGGGAAAGGCTACATCTCTGGCACAAATTCTTCCTGATTTTAAACCATGCGGTGCTTCCTTGTTCTATTTGGACAATAACCTGTGGTTCAACTCTCAAAAGAATCCCACTTAGAATGTCCCAACCCCTGAAGCATGTAGAAAATGAATTCTGGACAATGTAGTTCTGCCTGACCAAGCTGAACCATTAAAGTCACTAATAACACTGTTCTCCTTTTTTTAAAAAAAAAAAACAAACCTCAAATGCCTTATCTTTTAAAAATCTATATATTACATTTTCTTACAAAATTAAATTATATAGTCACAGAGACAAACATAAATAAATTGTTGGAGTTAAGAGAAGGCTTTTCTTTAAACTGCATGGTATCCTCAACTAGCTTCATTCATTTCTAGTATCTTTTCAGCCTCTGTAAGGTATATGACTGGTGCTCAGAAGGTTAGAGGGTCAGAACAGAAGAGGAAGATCCTGGATGAGATAGAGTGACACAGTGACTGTGAGAGTGGGGAGACTGCAAGGTTGGTTCAAGATAGGCAAAGTTCAAAGCTTTTATTCATAAGGTCACTGTGGGTCATTGTCGACTCAGGAGCATATAACAACAACAGAAGAACAGGTTCACCTAAATATTACTCATTTCTTCCACATTTCTGTATCACATTAATTTTCTTTCTGATACTTTTTTCTAAGAATGAGAAAATGTGGGAGTATAGTAACAGGTGTATTGGATAGAGGGTATGGAGTCAAGAGGCAAATTCTCACCACTTGTTCAGATAGTGTATATCTGCTAATGAGTCTCAAATATCTTAATCTTCATAAATACAAAACAACCTTTGAGATTCTTTAGATTATTATTTTTAGGTTGACCCAGAAGACCCAAAGATTTGAAAAGAACATAAAACATCTTTGTAATTGTGAAAGTACCAACTTCTGTGCTGCCACTTTGATCAAAGCTATCAGCGCTCTCACCTCAGTTTCTAAGTATCGTGGCTGGTCTTCCCTGCTTCTGTGTCAATTTGTAACCTTGCCAAAGCACAGCCACCAGAGGAATCATTTTCCATCACAAACCCCATTGCTTCTCTGTTCAGTAGTTTCCCATCACCCTCCGAATAAAAGTCATGTCGTAACAAAGGTCTCACACAATCTAATCCTGTTTTACTGCATCGCTGTCCTACTCTCTCATTACCTTGGCATTGCTGAGGCAATCTGGGCTCCTTGCTGGTCAACAAAAAGAGTCAAGCCAGTTCTACCTCGAGCCTCCACCTGGACTGTTTCTTCTGCTCTGAATGCCCTCTCGTGGGTGTCTGTTGGACAACTCACTTAGGTCTTTCAACTTTTTTGCTCAATCCTTTCTTTACAGTGTAGCCTTCCATGGTCACTTTGTTTAAATTTGCAAACTTTCTTCACCACTATCCCATCTGTCTGTTCTGCTCTACCTTCTGTTTATGTCATCTTCTGTCCTAGGATAAGGAGCCCTGGTTAAGCACTTCTGTGCTAACCCATAGGTCAGCGGTTTGAGCTCTCCAGCCACCTCATGAGAGAAAGATATGGCAGTGCATTTTAGTGACGTTTTACAGCCTTGCAAACCATATGGGCAATTTGACTCAGTTCAAAAGGGTGACTGTGGTTGTGGTTGTTGTTGTGCGCCATTGAGTCAGAACCAACTCATAGCTGAGCCTTCAGTGGGTTTTCAGAGGCAGTAAATAACACAGAAGATTGACCATTCTTCTGATAGTAATTTACCTCTTAAGTATTTTGTTTCATGTTCATTTCTCTGCTTTAGCATGTAAGTTCCACCAAGGCAGGGATTTTTTTCTCTCTTTGGTTCATTAATGTTCATTGATATCTAAGCACCCATGAGCAGCACCTGATTTATAGAGAGGTTGGCAAAACTTATGTTGTGTCTGAAAACGTTTTTCTTTTAGGGGGAGAAAGAGATAACCATTAATCCCAGACTCATGAAGTGGTGGTGTTCGACTGAACAAACTGCTAGGTCAATTGATTGAATATCATCTTTTATAAAGTTTCTTGATAGTCCAAGGAGGCAAGGATGATTGAAGCCTTGTCTCACATATTTTGGGCGTGTTGTTAGGAGAGGACAGTCCTTGGAAAAGGCATCGTGATGGAAAGGATGGAGGTTTAGCATAAGAGAAGAAGACCTTCAGCAAGATGAATGGACACAGGGACTGTAACAACATGCTCAAGTGTATCAGAGATCCTGAGATGGCACAGGCTAGGGCACAGTTCTGATCTATTGTTCATAAAGTAGACTCGAAAGCTTATAACAACAAGAAGTGAGATTTCATAGAGGAGTTTCCAAAAGTGATTATTGTGGTCTGTGGTCACACTTAGCATTTAAAGTCTACAGAAGGTAGAGAAAAATGAAGGAGTACTCAATTGTCATTTTCTCTGCAATTTCAGGCAGCCAGAAGCCACACCAAGCTGTGTAAGGTTTTGAATCTCTATTCTAGAACGCAGTCCAAGAGAGCTCTCAAAATATTTGAAACACCAGGTGACTTAGATATCGATGCCAGTGCCACAAAAATGACAGCCTCCCTTTTTTTCCCACACAGGGGGACGGTTCCTCCTCATTCTTGTCGGAAACTTGCCATGAGGATCCCTCTGTTTCCCCCAACATTACTCCCCCCAGTCCTCAAGCCCTCAAGTTGTGACTACCGTCCTTCCAGCCAGGTAGGACTGGATGGGAGGGGTCGCTTTTGAGAGAAGGTTGGTGTGTGGCCATCCGGTTTCAGGCACCATGGTCTTGTTCCTTTGTTCTGTACCTTCTCTTTCTCGCCCCACACTGTCGTCTTTTTTTCCTGCTGTAATTTCTAGCCACATTCAACATACCCTCCTCATTCTTTCATGTCTTTGTCTGTCTTTGTTTCTTCATCATTGTGCAGCCCCTTCCTGACACAAATTCCATTCTTCCGTATTGTCTTTCTTCTCTTTGTTTCTCTCTTTGTCAAATTGTCCTCCTTTTTGGCCTTGGTCTTTCTCTCTTATGCACAAACTATTCAATCCTATTTTTGAAATGTGTGTTCCATTCCTATTTCTCATTGCACTGTTTTCCTTTGCTCCTATAATCTTTAAAACCAGAGGGATTAAATTAACTCTCGGGGATTCTTCTTCTTCTACTTTGCTCAGTTTGTCACACTGAACCTTAAAGATCTAGTGAAATTCACTTTATTTCTCTATCTATGTTGAGTTAAGGGGACAATTCATTATTTTCCTGATCCTATAGACTAATGATTTCTTAAAAATCACTCACTAATAGGGACACTTACATTAGGATCATTGGTTGCACCAAAGTCCAACTTCAAATTAGAGAAGTTTTCAGATTGTCAGAAGCAGATGGATTCCATCCCTACCTCTGTCATACTCTTAAATCTATCATATTCCTTCAGCTAACACAGAAACTAGGCTAAGTCATTCCTGTGAGTGTACATTTCTGGGAGAAAAGATGCCTTCTTGTGACTGTAGGGAAAGGAAACTTACATTCTGATGTAATGAAAATAGAGTTCTATAAGGAGACTTACTATGTTTTAGGGTTTTTGTTTTCTTTCAAACATTTGTTGATCTGTGATGCAATACCGTTTGTTTATATTCATGTCAAAGGATTATTGAAAACAACAACAGAAAATGAGGATTAAGTTCTTGGTCTAACAATTGTCTCCTAAAAGTCTGCCCTAGTTCAGTGCTTTGTAAATCTCAGCAAGCCTTTAAGTGACCTGGGCCAGCCTTGCTGGTTTAGCAGATCTAGGGGAGCCCTGAAACTCTGCATTTCTAGCAAGTGCCAGGGGATGCCTCTGCTTATGCGCGTCAGTGAGCCACGGTTTTACTTGCAGGCACTGAATACATTCCTGTCTTGGCCCATGTACCTAGAAGACTAAACTTTAAGCTACCTTCATAGTTCTTTATTGTATTTTAAGCTAATAATGACCCCAATCATTAGATGCCTTTTATTTTCTAGTAATGACAATGGAGAGGGGAGAGGTGGGGCAGGCAGGATGACATTTGGGAGCAAAGTCACCACCTAGCCACACATTCTGCCCATGTCCTCCCATGGTGATGACTTTGTTCCTGCAGTAACCTTGCAATAAAGCCCCCATGTGAAGGTCGAAACAAAGGAGGGCCACACAACATCCATTTCCGGCCTTTGCAGGAAGCCATCAGGGAGACCTTAATTACATCTTCTTCATTAGGCTATAAATAAGACTATTTCATAAGTTACCTATTATAAGCATCTTTGGATGTTTTGTTGCACTTACTTCTGTCCTGATACTTTGGGGAGCAGTGTGAACTTTCAATAGCGTTCTTAGAATATTGAATTCTCTAAGGAAAGACCGTGACCCCGGTGCCCAGAACATATATTTAGGTTTTGTTTTGCAGCCCAGTGCAATAGAAATGTAAATGCTATATTTTTGTGTCTGTGCTCTGTGAGTCTTGTCATACCTTGTTTATTGCTTATATTTCCCTCAGAATGCCAGTCGAGCTCCCCGTTTAGCAAAAATATTTATTTTTGAAAGACAAATATTCCCACAATACTTGGATATTAAAAATTCTTTAATCATGTGGCTTTTAGCTTCCCATGTCTAAAAGGTGACATAAAAATAGACCAATTTCATACTTCTTGTGGAAAAACAGCCCTCATGGCTAACACAGGAAAATGTCAACTATTTCACATTTAAAATAAGTATTTCTTTTCTAGAAATATATGAATAATAAGGTTTTTGACCCATTGAATATTTTTTTCAAGTGTCTCTCAGTTGTTTGCTTTCTCCATACAAGTCTCAATTCATATATTATAGCTAAAATTAGAAAAAAATAATACTAAATATATACATATTTGTCAGGGAAAAAAGCTGATTTTTAAAAATGTCTACCAAGAATACTCTAGACATAAATTGAAATTTTACATTTATGAAAAAATTTAGAAATGAAGCTTTATTGATGAAAAGTATATCTCCTATCAGTTGAAAATTAAGAGATCAGGTCTGTTAGCCTGGCAACTTCTAATTTTACTAGCTATAGGTCAGTAAAGAACAATGGTGTCTCTCTGGAGACTAAGGTGTGCCTGATACAGGCCATGGTCTTTGCAATCACTTGTTATGCATCAGAGAGTTGGACAATGACTAGGGAGGATACAAGGAGAATTGAGGCCCTTGAGCTGTGGTGCTGGAGAAGAGTACTGAATGTACCATGGGCTGCCAAGAAAACAAACAGATTCATCCTAGAGAGGGTTAAAACAGGCTACTCCTTGGAGGCAAGGATTCTGGGGCTTCATCTGACATACTTTGGACATGTTGCAAAGAGAGACAGGTCTTTGGAGAGGGACATCATGCTGGGTAGAGTAGAGGGACAGTGCAGGAGGGGAAGACCCTCTATGAGGTGGATTGATTCAGTGACTGGGGTAATCGGGATGGGTGTGTCAGAGGCAATGCGATTGGCACAGGATAGAGCACGGTTTAGGGCTGTTGTACATAGGGTCGCTGTGAGTCTCAAACGACTCGACGGCACATAACAACAAACAACAATAGATCAGTATAGAGAAAGACTGAAAAGAAATGGGAAAGAATGTTCACTCATTTTAGGTATGTATGAACTTTTTTGTTAAGAATTATAGAAAAATGTCTCAAATTATTGAATACCCTTTTAAAAATTACCAATTTGTCCCAAATAGTAAGTGCTAACCTTATTCTATACATCATTTTCCAAGATTGTTTTTGTTAATGGTCTTTGAGTCGACTACAACTCATAGCAACCCTCTGAATGGCAGCTCGGACCCTTACTCTGCACCACACTCAACATCTGTGATGTGCTCAAACCCACTATTGCCATCACTGGGTCAATCCTTCTTGTTGAGGCTCTCGTCTCCTTCTCTTTCTCTGACCCTCCACTTTTCCCAGCATTATATCTTTTTTCCGAGAACTGAAATCTCCTGACAGTATACCCAAACTATGTGAGATGAAGATTCACTATCTTTGTCTATAAAAGTTTATCTAAAGTTCCACCGTGCTTAATAAAAAACAGAGAGCAGTTTAAGACTACAGAAGGATCTTTTATTTCCCTTAAATGATAACGAAAACAATAACAACTAACAGTTATTGAGCACTTAGCTATAATGCCAATTACCATCACGGGCTTTATCATCTTATCCATACTATTGTAAGTTAAAGGAAACTGATCTTCAAAAAGATAAGTGTACTTTATGAAAGTCTTTACAGCAGCCCTAGTTCATGAAGTATTGGACTGCTAACTGAAATGTCTGCACTGTGAATCTACCTGCTGCCCAGTAGAAGAAAGAAGGGCATCTTCTCTCATAAAGATTTATGGCTTCGGAAACCTCATGGAGGATCATTAAGTCAGTACCAAGTCTATGGCACATGGTTTTGTTTGTTTGTTACAGTCATGCGAGAAGGACCCTAACTTGGATGTTACACGTTCTTCAAGTTTCTTGGTATCTGCACCATGATGCTAGGACCTAAATGTCAGGATATGTAACAGCACTGTCTTCCACTGCTGTGGGCAGGCAGACAATAATCCAGTGCATGATCTGAGTGTGGGTTCATCTGTCTGGATTATATATGAAGGAAGGAGAGTGTTTTGAGCAGCTAGAAAGGGTACGAGGCAAATACAAAGACCAGACATCATTTCATGTGCTGATGATACTCCATCCTCCACAAGCTCACAGTCAAGTCCCACTAGAGATTTCCCTTCCAGAGTGATCACAATAGTGAGAGGTGCTAAACACCACAGGAAGAACATCCCCTTGCTGTTCACAAATATCTTGAAGAAGAACACCTACTGACTATCTCTTAGAGAGTTTTCAGTGCTGGGATGCAGGACTCTCATTCAGGAAACCAACATTTGCTGAAGCTCCTACTTTTAATACCTGAGGGAAGCAGAGGTTAAGGAAGATGCTGAGATGCTCTGTGTCCTGTACAAGCAAGTTAAGAATATTTCCAGAGACTTAGGAAAATCACACAGAACACAGTTCTACTCTGAAACATATGTGGTTACCATGGAGGCAAGTATTTTCCTTGGGATGTGAGGATGGATGAGTTTCTGTCTGGGGCCAAGGATCAGCACCCCCTTCAATGAATCAGCAGAGTTAAGGGAAGACCTTCCTATGCTCTTCAACTTCCAGCCTTGCCCTTCCTCCCTCCCTCTTGTCTCCTCAACTGCTTTACCATCCAGCTCATATGAACGGTTGCTGAGTTTAATCCAGGATCTTGGATTTGCCTTCCTTGAGAAGTCTTCCTGTTCTTTCTCTGCCTGTTCCAGCTCTTAAACCTTTCTCTTCTTTCATTCCCTGCTATTACGCATTTTTCTCCTCCTTGAAGAGATGTATACTAAATTATCATCAGCTGAGAGGTTAGAATACATATTGGATTTTGAGTCAGGCTTGTATCTACAAATGTAACACATTTCTTTTTGTGGCTTCTATTTATTTATCCAAATCATATTTAGTAGGACCTATATTACCTCTTCCTGAAGGTTCTGACAATATGTGAAAGAACTCTCTGAAATTAACACTTGGGCTTCTTGGGAATGAAGCATCTTCTTTCTGGTTGTAGTTGGTAGTCAGTCATAGTGCAGAAAGGAAGTTTAGTAAAGTGTGTGACCCTGTTCTTTTTCTTCAGAGTTAGAGGAATTATTTTGAATTAAATTGGAAAAGGTTTTAACAA